TTCAACTATTAGAATAGTACTGTCAAGCATACACATACACAGACATACACTGTCTCAAAAGATGAGGTTTTTTCCCGTGAGAAAATATACCTGACTCCTTGTACTTCTCTTTCATTTCATATTTAACTTTACAGAATGTACTGTTCACAGACCACAGTGTGGAGGCTATTCCCTTTGCTATTCTAGACACATTCCTGGGCACCTTTTTTCCTTATCTCTAAAATCTTCTTTCATGAGTTTCAAATGTCTTCCTAGTCAAAGCTGAAAATTAGTGCATTATCCAATAAATCCTTTAGTTTTCTTTGACACAGCCAATCACACAGTTCTTGGAACCTTCTCTCCCAACTTTCTCCATTTCATTAATACTGACACTCTGGCCATCCCTTTAATATGCCACCCTCATCTTCCTCCAAATTTCTTCATCATTTCCACAGCAGCTGTCTTCCTCCTTTCTCCTTTTACATTATCTTTCTAGGAAACCACACCTGCAGAAACAGTCAACCCCTTTGCTACACCGACTGGTCACTTTGACAGAGGACACCATCTTGAACGCTGACCATTGGTATCTATGGGCAGACCATGCCCAAATCATCCTTTCTTTGCATTATAATACCTCAGGAATATAACTTCAGGATTTTAAAAAAAAAAAAAAAAAAAAAAAGTAAAAAAAAAAAAAAAAAAAAAAAAAAAAAGGATGCAACTCGTATCAAGAGCCTCGTTTGACATTTCACCTTGTGCAAAACATTTTGTCAAGGTCAGACAGAACCAGACATCCTATAAAACCCAAATACAGATGCAGAAACAGTTTTCCAAGACTATTCCTTTCACCGTGTAATCCTTCTTTTTCTAAATTCCACACTCAGTTGTATTCCATTGAAACTGACTACATTCACAACTTAGCACACCCACATTTCTACCTTGATTTTCTCCATGAGACAAACAATAAAACCCGAAGAGATACAAAGTCTGTTAACAACAGGAACAAACTTTGACATGCCTATACACTTGTGGCAACAGTCATTGTAATCATTAGAACATTTGACATTTCAAAGAGCTAGTTTGTCAAATACACAGCAAGAAGAGTTACATTTTATGCTATTGGCTGCAAGCAGCAAGTAAAGGCTGATGTGTTTCTAGGCTGCAAACTGTATCCGAATTTAACAATTTTAAGACACTATAAAATGCATATTAACAGACAGGCTCTGCACTAGAAAGTTTATACCTCAAGTACTTAAGGACAGAGTATAATTTGTTTCAAAAATAAGTAACAGACAGAAATAACTTGTCTGGGAATAGGGAATAGCATTAATTTCAAGCTACATAAATATTATAGACTCTTGAAATTGAGTCCTCATCTTTCTAGATGATAATGCATCAAAGGTACAAGATAGCTTGCGAAAGAAACTGGGGAGAGGTGGCAGTCAATCTGACAACCTAACCACAAGACGATTCTTCCTGTAATTAACAGTGTGCAACATGAAAGCAGTCTTTATCCATGAAATATCCCAGCCACTTTTATATTTGAGCCGAGTCCGGTAACTAGGAAAATTATCAGCTCTGCTTGCAGATTGTTTGGGCCAAATATCCTGTGTGTTTAGTTACAAAGGCCTACTCTTTACTCAAGGAAAAAAAATTTCTGATACAGAGTGCTTACAAGATCTCCAACAGTGAGAAGTACCTTGTAGATTCCAAATTCCGATTTGGTTTTCATGTGGGGAAAAAAAAAATAGAAATCCAGTGCTAAATATGCAACTGTCAATGAAGACAATCTCTTTGATACCAGCAGCTGTAGGTACAGCTAATAGATTGCATCCAATTAATACTTGCAATCACCTACACAAAATTTGTACTGCCAATCAAAACTGAAGTCACACTGCTAATAAGCAATTCCTCTTTAGGGCCAAGATGAATACTGAGGTAAGAATACAAAAAGCCCATTTACTGCTTAAATCATATGAATCTCTGTGAGCAGAAGTATTAATATGATAGAACTCAGAAAAGATATTGCATTTGCATAATTTTTAGCCTTAATCATAGTGGTATTGCTTCCTTCTCTGTGTAGTTATGTACTTTTACAACAGCATTTAAGTATACTTGCATCAAAAATCTATTCAAGACTCTGTCCTCCCACCTCAAACTACATTGTGGTTACAGGATCCTGCTCACAGTCCTCTTTCCAGTTCTACCCCAGAAAACAGCAATAGCTCCATCCAGTTCCAGTGTGCGCTCATTGCTGGTCGTACATACCTCTGTCATGTGTTCTTCTCCCCCACCGCATGCACACAGACCCCTTAGAATTGCTGGCTTGAACTTATTAATGAAATACAAGCCAACTTGATATCATTATTTTCTTATGTATTTAACTAGACAAAGAGTCTGCAAAATTTCAAATCAACAAATAACCAAAAACTTCAGGCCAGTACTAGCATTCCCTATTTTCCTCAAAGAGTAACTAAAATCTGCACAAGAGGAAGATTTTTCACTATTGGAACAATCAGCCATTGGAATAACCTCCCCAGGGAAGTGTTGAAGTGTTGGATTCCCCAACACTGGACACTTAAAACTGAGCTGGACAGGGTGCTGGAACACCTCGTCTAGACTGTGCTTTTGCCAGGAAAGGGTGCATCAGATGATCCTTGAAGTCCCTACCCACCTGGTATTCTATGATTTGATACATCTGGATTTTTTTTGTTCTTAATATGCCCCTGCTTGCAGAGGTTCATACAAACCTCTACATACAAGAGGTTTACAACAATCATAGAAAATATATCTAATGGAATCACAGTAGCAACTTAGCTCTCAGTCATCAAAATATTCTTGTCATAATGAACCTGTAGCACATTCCTTGTATTCCACTGATCTTCCAAACAATGCTCATTAAACTCACTCTTAAAATACTAATACTGGAAAAGAAACACTGTAGTTTTTTTTATAAATAATTACAAAATATCCAATTAGTCCTTAAAGAATATTTACACCATAAATGTTCTATGAAAAGCATCAAGTGTGTACATTCCCTCTGCTTCAAGGAAACCCTATAAAAACCTTGTAGTGTTTACTCAAATAAAGTCACACATTATGGGCTTACTTCTCTCTCCCCCACCCCCAAACAATCGATGTTTTATCAGCTCTGCAATGTTTGATCTCTCTCCAAGTCACACAAGAGTTTGGAAGATTTCACCTGTGTTATCCTTCTAAAATCATATATAAAATACTGCACAAAACACATATCTATGAATCTCATTTAAACTGTGCTTAATAAAGCATAAATATTTATTGTAAAGCATACCAGACTATTAGGAAAATAAAGAACTTGAGATCTCTGTTATTTCTGTTCATTTCTAGAGATAACAAAGATATCAAATTCTGGAAGTCTACCAAACAGTTACGTTTTATTACGAACACGTATGATTTAAGTGCTGCCAATAAATTCTACGTCTTCAGTTATGGTTGACGTTTATGATGTTGCTTAAAGAATAATAAATGCCTTAACTTGAAATATGTGCATGCCTTCAGGAAGTGAGGCAAATACCAACGGAAGCATTTAGTAACTTGCATGAGAACAAATATCTTCTATCACCTAGGAACGTTAATGAAAATGTATTTTCTGGGAGTTTCATACTGCAGACAAATGGGGGGGGGGGGGAGAAAAAAGGAAAAAAGAGAATACTCACTATCCAGAAGAGAAAGTAAATTATTATACAGTATTCCCTACGTATCTTAACTGCTAGTACAATATTTTAATGTGTCTTTCATAGTATGCATTTGATAATTTTAAACTTATTGAATGAGTTGTTTCTGAAGCCTGTTACAGCATACTTGCATTTCAGCCTCCCAGGCAAAAACAATTACCACTGTATTACTCTATCGTGCAAGTGCAGGGAGAGAAACGCTCGGAAACTACTCCACCGTTTCAGATTCACCTCGTATTTTCTCACACCTATCTCACAGTCAATCGCATCAAGTGCATTACGGAATATATGTCAAAGGAAAATTAGAAAATTTAATTTAGTAGCCATCAATTTCAGCCACAACAGTAGTAGATGGGGGGTTCTGTAGCAACAATCACTTCCCAGAAACTGTTCGTTCGCAAGTTTAATGAATACACTGTCCTTATTCTCCTTCCTATAACGGGCTGATAATTCACTTGCAGCAGCCTCGGGCCAGTTCCACAGACAACACAACTCGATGTTCCTGCAGTTCACTTGCAAGTTCCCAAATAAAAACAAACCTCGCCCCCTCTCCCCCACTACTCCCCCTCTCGGGGTTTACACTACAAGAAACAAGACTCATTGAAAAGTTTTCCGGGAGGTAGAAACCAACAGAGTTCCATTCAAGAAAACTGAGCGTTTCGGGCATCCCTCCAGACTCTACTGAACAGCTCTCTCTTCAGTAAAAAAGGAGTTTAAATCACACCAACTCAAACCCAGTGTTAATTTATGTGAAACGAGGAAGAGAGACAGACAAGGATATCTGCAAGGCAGAACAGCTGCTACTTAGACAACACCACCATTTGATAAATCATGTCCCTCAAAACCTGGTATTTCTTAAGCACTTAACAATCATTTTGTCGACAGAAAGCGGGAAGAACCAGTTGAGAGCAGCTAGAAAGCTGTGGTCTCTTTCTCTCTTAAAGTTTGTCAGAAGCGGAGGAGGTGGGCTTTGGAAAAGAAGCAATCAAAATAACAAGGTAGCTGATAGCTGAAGATGTTTGGTTTGGGGTTTTGCTCCAATCAATAAGTATTACTTTTTAATATTTAAGATCGTACAAAAAGCGAGCGAGCTATAGCAAGCATTATTATTGCTTAGCTTCTATAGAGACATAAAGTATTATATCGATTCTACAGAACCGAGATGAGAAACCCGCTAAGGAACTAACATTCCTCTAACAGGAGCTTGTCAGTTAGCCAGACGTCCAGCACAAACACATACAGCGGTTAGGAAAGCGAGTGGATCTCACTCCTCAGAAAGTTTTTTCTTCCAGTTTCGGAGACACCTACCTGCTCTCTGGAAATGCAAGGCAACGAGGGTCTCCTAAACATTTTGCAGCTGCCATAGTAGCTGGCTGAAGTCTCCCCTAAGGATACGCAGCTAGATCTTCTCCTGGGTCTGATCACAGGCACTTTTTCCTCCACGCTGGGGAGCCGTGAGTGGTGATGATGCTGGTGGTGCGCTCCTTGTCTCTGAGGGGAGATGCCGTGCTCCCCGCCACAGAGTGCCAGGAGGCAGCCTGCCACCCCGACTGAGCCGGCCAGCAGCGGTCTGAGGGCGGGGGACACGCAGGGAAGGCTGGTGAGCGACACCAGCCATACCAAGCTGGAGAAGACCAAGACGAGAAGGCTCCGGCGCAAATTCAGGGAGCTGTGCAGCAGGGTGAGCGCTGCCACCGAGCCCAGCACTGTCAGGAGCCTGCCTAGGACCATCTGCTGCTCGGCGGGGGACTGGGACTCCTCTTCGTGCCCCTCTGCGGGCACCAGACACTGCAGCGCCACGAAGTCCCCAGAGTAGCAGCACACGGGAAGCGCCAGCAGCCACCAGCGGGTCGTGCCGCCGCCGTGCTCCCCGCGCCTGCCACCGGCCAGGGAGCAGGTGAGGAAGAAGAAGGCACAGGCGATGCTGAAGAGGGGGCTGAGGCAGCGGGCCAGGCACAGCAAGGCGTGCAGAGCCCGGGTGTTCCGCCAGCTCCTCCCGTCCTGCTGACCCCCGTCGCTGTCCCAGGATTGAAAGGCCAGGAGTGAAAGGACAACGGCGGTCAGGGCGCACAGGCAGAGCAGAGCCCGGCAGGAGGTGGAAAAGGTGGCGGCTGGGAACAGCAGCAGGGAAAAGAAGCTCTTCGAAGGGTCCTGCCTCAGGGGAGTCGCGCAGCTCTTCACGTAGCCGTTCCGCAGGCTCTCCAGACTGCGTCCGCCGCCGGGCAGCGCCAGGGGGCAGCCGCCCCGCCGCCGTCCAGCTGCTGGCAGTGCTGCGGGGGTCGGCTGGGTCCGTGGTGGGAGGCGGCCGCGGGGGCTGCGACTTCTCCCTCTTCCCTCATGATGGCTGGGAACGGGGATGAGGCGCGGGTCGCGCTAGCTCCGGCCCAGCCGCGCCTCCCTCATCTCCTCAGGAGGAAAGCGCCGGGCTGAGCCTCCGCTTCTCCT